GTGGCGTCCAAGTCTCGCAGGCGGGCCTGGAGCTCTGCCCAGTGGAGGAGGGCAGAGCTATATCTGGAAGCCTGGGAGTGTTGGGGGCCCTGGCTAGCCTGGATCCCCACCCTAATACAGTTGCAGCAGGAAACGCACCCCAGGCCCACAACCTAGGCACTCCTTGGGCCTCGTGGATGGGTAGAGCCACCCCAGAAACAGGGTTATTGCTAGTGCCATCCACAGCCACCCTGTGTCCAGGAGAACACCTCTCAGCCCTGCGCCATCCCCACAGTCATTGCTAGGTTGTACCACGCCATGGTAGGGTCCATCCACTCATATGCAGGTGAAAGTCGGACAGTGAAGAAGGAAGACAGAAGACAATCAGCATCTTTGGACTGTGGTTGGGGACGACTACTGAAAGCACCCTGGACCGTGAAGAACAAACGTGTGTCTTGGAGGAAGTACAGCCAGAATGCACTCAGAAGCAAGGATGGAGGGGCTTCTTCGCCCGGACTTTGGACATGTCGTCAAGAGAGACCCATCCCCGGAGACAGCCACCATCATGCTTGTTGCAGTAGAGGGGCCACGAAGGAGAGGCAGGTCCTGGACAAGATGGATTGAAAACTGGCTGCCACCACGGGCTCACACACAGCAGTGACTATGTGGCCGGTACTGGACCAGCCAGCAGTTTGCTTCGTTGTCCCCAGGGTGGCCCCTAACAACAATAGCAAATGCTGGCGGTCTCAGAAACCTGAGACAATCCTACCCTGTCCTGTGGGGTCACTGTGAGTCAGCATAGAGGCCAGTGAGTTCAGGGGGAGTCATGGCAGTGTCGTGGTGACATGTTAACTAACACAAGCTTTCCAGTTTAAAATCAGCAGCCCCTCCGCGGGAGAAAGACTGGGCTTTCTACATCTGTAAACAGTTCGTTCGTCTTAGAAACTCACAGGGGCAGTTTCACCCTGTTCTGACAGTCAGTAGGAGTCGGCATTGGCAGTGAGAGAGAGAGAGAACGTTCTGCTGGCACCCCACGGGTGGCCACGGGTTGGGATGGGACGATGGCAGCTGGTGTAGGGATCCTGGGGAGGTGTGCCAAACCTTCCACAGTGCCCAGGGCCGGAGGCATGGGGCAGCCCAGCTCCGCAGCTGAGTGAGGCCAACTCCTTCCCCACCTGCCCACAACACCACCGAGCCACAGACAAGCAGGTAGAAAACGAGTGTGTTTAATGACAGTTCTTTGGTAAAAATGGCTTTGTACATTCTATACACATTTACAGGACTGGGGTCCAGGGTGGGAGGGTGCGCCCAGAGAATCAGCACTAGACGAGGGCTGTGAGGGCTTCCACTGGGACAGGAATGAGGTATCTTGGGGCCTCCAGGGCCTGGGGTCTCCAGCAGGAAGAGCTTCCGCTTCCCCCAGGTGGTTCTGGTCCTTCAGCAGGTCCCGGGGACAGATCTCAGGATCACCACCTGGCTGGCAGCCTGGCCCACAGCCGGCTATCCATGAGAGGTCCCTGCCCACTGGGACAGGCCAAGGGTTGTGGGTATCACAACTCCCCCCAGGAACCTGACCACAGGGCCTTCAAGGACATTACTCTGGGCGCCCCAGCCCTGCGGAAGTCCCACCCCAAGGGGCAGCTGGATCGGACTATGAGCTGCACAGCGCAGGTAACACCTGCTCCATCGAGGACCACTGCTGGTGGGTGTCCACGGCCTGCGTGGCCCACCCTGCCCCGCCCACCTGGGTCCCGCTGCCCCAGAGCCCACGTCTGCAGGCAGAGCACAAAGCCCCAAGGGCTTGCAGGCCAGGGTCAGTGGAAAGTGTTGGCAGGCTCGACACAGCCGAAGAAGTCCGGGCCCACCAGGCGGGGGAAGCCCTCCAGCGTCTTCACCTTCACAGGGTCAAACTTCCAGTAGAGGCGGCCGCGCAGGAAGTAGGCATAGCCTGTAGGGGCAAGACGGTTGGCACTGGGAGGGCAGCCTTGGTCACTGCCAATTGCCAGAAGCCTGCAGGCCTGAGAGGAGAGTCCCCCTTCACCCAGCTTCAGTGTCCCATCCGTCCCTCTGAGAAAAGCAAGTTCCACTCCCCTGCCACCCCTCAATCAGCATGTCACTCTCTCTACCTCAAACACCCCCACCCCGCCACACACACACCCAACTACAGACAGAGTCTTTGAAGCAAGGTCAGTCAAAACTGAAGGCCATCCAGGACAGCCCACTTGTGGACCTCAATGCAGGCAGCCACAGAGGCAGAGGGTAGGCAGAGCCTGCCCGGCGCGGGGAGTTGGGGAGGGGGTTCCCAGCTTTCCCCCAGGTGGACCCCCATTAGGGACCTCCCTGCCTGAATCCCTTGTCTGCATCTCTGAGATCTGAGTTTTTCCCTCTGTGCTGACAACTAAGAGATGTGGTACCTTTCTGACCTCAAGCTCTTCTGCAGGCCATGGGGGGGCTGGAGGGGAGTAGGTGGGGGGAGAAGGACCCAGGGTGAAAGGCGCCCTCTGAGGCGGGCCGCTGTCCCCGGCCCACACACCATCAGCATCCTGGAAGGCAGCATCGATCTCCGCAGGCACCCCTCTCCAGTCGGTGGCCCGGCGGGGCACGGGGCTGTCCACACGGCTGGAGCTGGGCTGGAAGCGCCAGTAGTATTCTCCACGGAAGAAGTAGACCTTATTCTTCTCAGGGCCCCAGACCAGGGCAGCATGCACACGGGAGCCCGCCAGGCCCAGCGTCAAAAGGGGCCCAGGGCCCAGGACCTGCCTCTCGCCGTCGTACACCCAGTACTGGGCACCTGTGGGGCAGAGAGGAGGCTGCCCAAGAGTGGCTACCACAGACCTGTAACCCCCTGCTCTGGTGCCTGCCTCCACCTGCCCTTAGTCTGGGCTCGGCTCCATCCCAGTAGCCCCTGGCCACCCAGGACCCACAAGCACCCTGGGTTGAGCACCCGGCTCTCATCTCTTCAAGTCCAAAGCATGTGCCCCAGGGTCATCCCCAGGTGGTTCTGTCCTTGGCTGAGCCCCATGCCCCAAACCAGTCCCTGTGGCATCCACTCCGACCCATGGTGCCTCCATGGGTGCCAGGGCAGAGCTGTGGGTCACAGGGTTTCCACCACCCGACCTTTGGGCAGTTGGTTGCCAGCTCTGTCTTCGCAGGCACCTCTGGCACCCTCCAATTAACCCTGTGTGCCACCCTGGACTCCATCTGTGCCAACACCCAGACCCACTGCCATCGGTTCTGACACACAGTGACCTTCTAAGACAGAGTAGGGCCGCCCCAAAGGGTGGCTCCCGGTCAGCGTCTCCCTGTCCGTGTGGTCCCCTGTCTGGCCGTCTGCCCAGCTCACCTTGGAAGAACCAGATATGGCCCCGGGCATCTTCGAAGACGGCATCCACTGGGCTGGGCAGCCCCTGCCAGTGGCGAGAGGCCAGAGCAGGGTAGCCAGGCTGCAGCCGGCCCCCCCGCAGGCGCCACACAAAGGGCCCCTGGAAGAAGAAGAGCTCTCCTCGGATAGTGGAGACAGCGTCGAAGGAGGTCTCACAGGCATCTGGCGGGGTTGCCGGCTGGGGGCGCCGGGGACAGGGGGCGGGGGGAGCCCAGGAAAGGCCAAGTTAGAGGCTTAGAGGAGAGACCTCCAGCTCCATCCATGCCTGGGGCTGGGAGTCAGGCCACAGGCCCCTCCCCTTCCCTCCCAGCTCACCTCCAGTGGGGCAATCTCATTGGTGTCCACGCCAGCCCGGGGACCCAGGGCCGGGGCACTGGGGGCGGGGGCTGCACGGGGGCGGCCGTACAGGTGCTGAATGCCCCTTTGGTCATCTGGACTGAGGCTCAGCGGGTACCGGAAGGTATAGAAAGGAGACATGAGTGCCTTGGCGGCCGTCGTGTGCTGCAGCCCCAGCACGTGGCCAAACTCGTGAGCGGCCACTTGCAGGAGGTCGGTGCCTGGAGAGGGGGTGGGGACAGAGCATCACCCCAGCCTCCTGTCATCTCTCTACACCCAGCCTGGGACCCGCTGCCTCCTCATCGGTGCAGGTGCCCCCAGCCCATACCTTGGTTGTCCCCCACCGTCCAGGTCTCATCATAGTCGAAGTGGACATCCCCTTCTCGGTGGGTCTTGGGGAAGAAGGCATGGGCCAGGATTCCGCCAGGTCCATCAAAGGGCAAGTTGTCCCCATGCCAGTACCTGCGAGGATCATGGTAGGGGGTGGGGCAGGGTCAGTGTCTAAGAGCTGGCAGGGCTCACTCCCTCCCTCCTCCAGGACCCCCGTGGGGCCACATCACCTGGTGAAGTCTATCATGATATCAGCTCGACCCTCATGCACCTCAGTGAAGGTGAGTGGTGTCACCGTGCTCCACACCTGCAGGGCCTCGGCCACCGTCTGTCGCACCTGCTCCCGCACCAGCTGCCACGGAAAGCGGAGGATCCTGCAGGAGGACAGGGGTGGGGAGGTGCCCCTGGAGGCTGAGTGGGGCACGTGTGTGTACATACATGCACAGAACCCAGGCTAGGAGTGTTCTGGGCTCAGGTGTGTCCATCTCTCTGAGGGTCTGTGTGAACAGGTGACCCAGGTGTGTCTGGGCTCAGGTGTGTCCATCTCTGAGGGTCTCTATCAGCAGGTGGCCCACCAGGTGTGTTCCAGGGTCAGGTGTGTGCATCTGTGTAGAGTCTGTGTAAATAGGTGGTCCAGGTGTGTCTGAGCTCAAGTGTGCCCATCTCTGTGAGGCTCTGCATCTACAGGTGAGCCAGGTGTGTCTGGGCTCAGGTGTGTCCATCTCTGTGAAGGTCTGCATTTACAGGTGGGCCAAGTGTGTCTGGGCTCAGGTGTATCCATCTCTGAGTGG